CGTGAATGCCCTCCCAGGTTTCCAATGAATGATCTCTGCAGGGCATCGCCGGGGCCCCTGAAGAAGTGTGGAGGAGTCCTTGCCCATTACGGGCAGTGGGCATACTTTCCACAGTCTCATCGGGGATGATCAGCGACGCCATTCAGCAGAAAAATCCTGGACCTCAAGGCTCAACAGTCATTATTCCATGAAATCATGTTCATCGACGTCTGAAGGGTCGGTCGCTGAGCGCTTTGGGCCTCTGTCTATCCGTGGACCTTACGCCGCATTCAATTTGCGAAGTTCAGCTCTGGGTTGCAAATTTGCACGCGCCGGTCATCGTAGTAACGGCACTTGTTGGCAATAGCTTCAGTAGCGATTCGTGTCCCGATCAACCGTCATAACCCTTAGCCTTGTTGCCTCTCCACAAGCTGCACTCATACCCACGAATATGAGCATTTCAGAGCCAATACTGAGTACCTGCCTAGAATTCGCAGTCAACTCCGTACAGAGAGACACCGCCTCTGGCCGTTGTGAGGGCCATTATCCGATGGATCGCAGGTGACTTCGCTCATCCGCTTCTGTCCTGGTCTTGTCTCAGAATTCCCCAGTATGCGGATGAGCTATCACTATTAGTCCTTCTCGAAGCAGCAGAATTGGACGTATAGTGGGCGACATGTCTTGAAACAGCCTGGTGCGGGACAGCGGCCACAGCCAACAACAAGAGGCCCACCGTTCATTAGGAGGCTGCTGATAGTTGAGCTGGCCGGCCGCAGGACAATGCATCATCGCAGAGTTGGCAACAACTTTGCATAGAGGCAAGCTTGTTGTGCCATGCAAGCGCCTTTCTGCCCATAGGGTACGGGGTCTGGCTGGCGTCGTTCCGCACCATGGCACCACCCGCCGCCCGCTCATGCTTTGCCAACTCAGAATTTCAGCCCGCTGGCTCCTTCGGTTCGCAAATATCGGTGTCAATTCACGATCCCGCCGTTTCCGAACCCAGCAGATAGACGGGCGGCCCATCCATATGCGGTGGTCGAAAGGAACGCCCCTGACTGAACCTGGGCCCATGTTCCGGGCCTTACGAAATGCTCCACGTATTCTGGAATATCCTTTTTTCTTTTTCTCATAGAGAGGGGCGGGCTAGACCACTGGGACAGTGGGCTACTTACGTGCCCACCGCCCACTTTCAGAAGTCGTTGTTCGAGCTGTCGTGCTGCTGCTCTGCCACTGCGACATGGTCTGGGGATGGGGACGGTGTGGCTGAGATGCTTGCAAAAAGGAGTCAATCTTATCAATGAGCAAGCACTGCTCGTACTTGCTTGAGCCTAGCACGTTCAAGACGGAGGCAAGGACGCGGCCAGTGCCTACGGAGTACATGCTCACTAGGGCAAAAAGGCAACGTGGAAGAGGTCGAGCGTTTCCAACGTCTGTTCTCATCAGACTCTGCAGGCGACAAAAGCAAGCAATCTAAGACCGACTCAGGCGATGCTGTGACTTTGTTTTGCGACGCATGAGATGCAGCAGAGAGACCTTCACTGCTACTTCCCTGACTCGTATCGACTGAACACTTGGAGATGACGCTGTTTGGGGTAGAATGAGAGGAACATGAAGGACATTGAGAGAACCAAAGTAAAGAAAAGAAGAAAAAAGACCAAAATCGATCATTGAGTCTGTCCTGCGTAAAGTTGGAACGAAGGATTTGCTTTTTGCGGTGGCGAGAGCACCGGTTTCGTCCAGACTTGAGCGTTCCCATGTGGACTGGTCCATATCGTCGGGTCCCCTTCGCGAACGAGCCTCTTTTTGGATGAGGGACGAACTTCATCGGGCTAGGCGCCGCTTTCGACAGGTCCATCACTTGCCTTAGGACGGACACGGACATCACGGCAGTAAGGTCTACGACTCACAGACCCTCTCTCTACGACGACGACGACGACGATGTCGTAGGCACGGGAAGTTATCTTTCCATTCATATATGTCGAGGCCTTTAAGGGGTCTGCGAAAAAAGCCGCGAGGCCTGGGTGGGAATCATGACATGCTACTTTACAACTTCACAAGAGTATGGCAAGGAGACCAGGGTCTTTACAATCTGCTCGATACTACCTCTAGACGCAGAAACGCGCAAACAACATTTCCATCAGGTGCAACAGTCGGCTGCCTAAGACGGATAGATCATCGACGAACCGATGCCGCTCCAACACAACACCAGCCTCAAGGCAGCGACAGCTTGGCCTCACCCACTCCAACGAGGTCTACCAGTGTGGCACGAAAGGATTCTCGTAGAACAGAGTGGGATTGACCTTGTGCCGACATGTTCACGGTAGCACGGCGGCGCTGCACGCAAGCGGCGAAGCCAAACTCCACTTCCGAAGCCTGCCACTCCATGTTCAATGATGTATCCGTTCGACACTTGGCGTCCGTGTACACGTCCATCACGAGCTGCACAGCGAGGGCCAACCCAGCATGCCAGGTTCGCTTCCACTTACTGTGTACATAGGGAAACTCTGACAAACGTAACCTATTTTTTTTTTTATTTTGCCCAGAAACACACTTAGACGCGCAGTCATATCTACTGTGGACTCGTGTCTGAATTTCCGTATACAATGTTTGAAGCCAAAGCGCCTCAGCCGTCAAACGCATTTACACAACGAATCCTCCCCTAGGGGACCCGTGGGGACGTGCAATAGCACCGTTCAGTTCCCAGTCCAATAGTTTACAGCTGTCAAATTATGCGTATTACATGTATGGAAAGTGTACCAACAAAAGGGGCAACGATCCGATGCCAGAGACGGGAGCCCGTGGATCATGCACCTGTCATCCGCAAACGCAGAGCAAACTTGACATTTTGTATTCGTACGAGTATGGATACAGATCAAATCCCCCTTAAGGATTTCCAATGGTGTCTTGGTGTATTTGGTCTCATGGGCTGAAGACCAGGGGAATCCATTGACCACATTTCGCTTGAGTCGATTGTCCATCATCGGTGAGATTAACGATCGAAAGGGGGCAGCGGTCAGAGGCCGGGGTAGGTTGACCACATGATTAAAGACCGGCCCTGTCAATAGCAGCATCGCCAGTTTCCGTATCCACCAAGCACGTCCCAAAAAGAATCAATCCAAGCACGCCAGGCAAAGGCAAGCCAGGCCCAAGTTTGACAAGCAAACAGGCTGACAGGGTCCCCTCTGACAGAGTGAGCTGAGCTATCCTCACTCTCAGTCTCACCTGTGGTGACCGAAGAGTCGAGGACGCCCCGGTACTGGGCCGGGTCGGACTCGAGCCCCCCAAACACTTACCGTCGCTGTCGATACTAAACATCGGATGAGTTGCCGCCGAAGCTGTCGCTCACCCGTGTCATCGCTACAATGCGCCGGGACATGTTATCAACCTAGGTAAACTGGAATTCCACAGTTCCAAAATCCAACGGCCCAAGCGACGACCATCCCACCGGTTCCCCCAAGATAGAAACTTTGGTACAGATGCAGTGACTGTGTTTGAGTCGGGATTCTTCGACCAGGCCCCTCTCTCCCGCCTCAATCGGGTGAACCCTTGATCGATAGATTGGCGTCTATCGCCGGAGCCTGAACATGGCACGCATGACATCTGGCGCCGCGATGTCTCACAAGACGAGGTTCGAAGACGGTACACGGCACGCTGCTGCTGCGAAGTCTAATTCAACTTGCTGATCCGGATCAGCAACCAGACAAGGCCCCTGACATCAGAGGGTCAGGCAGAATCGAAGCCAGCACCCTCCTCGGGGAAGATCTATGACACATCCGCCAAAAAACATTTTCCACTCGAGCAAACGCCATGATGGGGGACACACAGACACGGCTCGTCATTCGTCACTGATCGCTCTAACAAACTTGCAGAGCTTGCAGAGTAGAGTTCGGACCGGGCTGCCAGTACAACTCGTCGGTTTGACTCGCTCAACACCACCACGTCCTCCTTCGGACGAAGGCTCGTGTTAAACTTGGAAGTAGGAACTGCACTCTGGAGCTTTGGCCCGTCATTGCAGCACGGATGTTCTCGCATCCATATTGGGATTGCAACATCGCCCTGCACTTTAATCCAAGCAGAGCAGCAAAGCCCAGCTGCCAAGCTGGCTACGCTAGCAAAAGCACCCCCTCACGGTTCACACCCCCTCGAGCGTCGCAATGATTTTTCAGAAGAGGAAAGTCGGCGATCCATCCATCCAAGATCCCAGCCCCGCTGCAGAGTAAGGCTAACCAAGATCTGCTGTGGATGAGGCGGTTGCCATCAGCCCCATCCCATCCTATTCCATCCCATCGTGACTTTGCGTGCCACCGTGCCTACGAGGTTGTTTCGTCACCCTGCTTCGCTCGTCTGTGTTTTCCTAATATCTATGCTACAACGTCTCCGTTTCCATCCAGATTCGGCATGAGAAGTGGACTCACGGTCAGAGCTTTCCAGCTTGGGATGTCGAAGCTCCGGAACCAGGCGATCAGGGTGGTTTGGCCATTTTCAGGAGACGCGGAGGCCCATCGCTGTTTCGCGATTCTCGAAAGGTAAATTTCGATATGCGCTGCTTCAAGCCTGAGGGAACAATAGAGCATTGCAACTATTCGCAGGCCTTGCTCATCTCCATTGGACGCCAGCTCTGTCTGTTTGACTGTTGCCCGTTAGACTTGGCTGCGCGAATGTAGATCAGACATATCTCGCCGCGAAATCGGCATGCTTTATTAGGCATGGAGGGCCGACATCCTTCTTCTCTGACAGTCCCCGCCCCGATGCCAGATGATGATCCTCCCCCCTCCCATGATACATCCCTAAAAGATGCATGTGCCCATCTCTGCGAGAGGAAGTAGGACGTGAAAAGCAAAGAAGGTTGAGATAACCGCCCCATGTGCCTTCAAGGCCCCCAAAAGCTCAAACCCTTGCCGGGTTGATCATCGGAGCTCGGTTCACCACTTGCGCAAGCCGCTTATTGAAAGCATTTCTTGTTCAAATCCTTCTCCTCCTTCTCCGACCCGCTTCGCGAAGCCGGAGACGGTATCCTAATGTTACAGCAACTCTTCCTGGGCGGTGGACCTGACAAGCAGACGACCTTGTATCTGCCAGAACCAGCCCTCCTCGCTCATCATGAACCCTGATCCGGCCGCCTCCGTCGGTCGATGTCCCGTACGGTAACGATGGCCAAAAACTCCACCGACAAAGGCCTGGGTGAGAGAGTCCGAGTCGGGTATGCCCCCTCCCCTTTCCCACGGCCCATTGCCAAACATGTTCATTGCTGCCCGTCCCCGGTTGCTTCGGCCGCGTTGTCGAAGTTTCGTAAACCCTACCACGGCAAATCCCTCCCAAAGTTTGAGCGGGCCGCGCCCGCCAAACCTCAAAGTCCCATCATGCAGAGCTGACATCTCGAAACAGGCTAACAGCTGAGAAGAAAGGCGCCAGCACGCGGTGCTGTGCCGCACCGAGGCTGCAGGCAAACTGCATCATGAGGTTGTTCGGTAACGCTCTAGTCAGCTTGGTGAGGTCAGCGAAGGTGCAGAAGCCCAATTTGCCAGAGGTCTCAAACCCGCCTGTATGTATCCGTAGAATAGATACGCCATGATCCATCGTTCTTCGCAGCCCCCACTGGCACGAGACCGCACTCGTGAATTCGGTCGCGGGAGATCTCGCCGATGCTGATACGACGTCGCCCGCTTTCCGGCATGACCCCCTCACCCTTTGCCTTTCGCCCCCCGGGGGCTTCCACTCAAACCTCGAAGAGAAAAGCCAAGAACAGCAGCCTAAAGCGAGTTGGAGAGGGCAAGGCCCGCACGACCCGGCGGCCGGTGGACGGCCCTTCTTTGCCCACTCGCTTGCATCTTGTGAAGATCGAGCTTGTAGAAAACTCTGAGCGTCGTGCTGGATAGGACCCGCCGCCGGTGTTCCAGTTGGCGGGGTAGAGACTATCGTGAGGGAGGAAAAAAAGTTCTTCGCGGGGTAAGGGTTGGCCGTGCGAGGGGCGACTTTTCGACTGCCGATGTTGAAGGGCGTTTTCTTCTTTTTGCTCCTTCCTTTCTTCTTTTGATACGGAGGATTCGGTGTTTGTCCGGCTATATTGGATATGCGGTTTGCGTCCTGCACCATGCAAGGTCGTTCTCTTGCTTCTTGTTGGCGGGTATCATATCAAAGGAGATATGCGTGTCCGTCTCCAACGAGGTCCGCTGTGCGTGTCTTTGCCTCTTCGATATGCGATTGCGTGATTCCGCTTGTTTCTTTTTGGTTCCTTCAGAGGGAAGAGGCGCAGATGCGTTGCTACCTCTTCGCTCGCCTTTCAACCTTCTTCATATTGTGTAAGTCTTTACTACATCAACAATACAAGTGGATCCATGCCCAACCTACTACAACTCTGATGGTAAGAATATGGGTGTGACTTGCTACGCAGACGAAGTATTACGGCAGCTTGCTCCAAAGCTTGATCAAATGCTTTGCGAAGCCTCTCACCATTTCCGCAGAGTGTCTTCTACACTGAGCATAATTCTATACAACAGACGTATGCGCTCACAACTCAATGCATTCATAATTCGCCCTTTCACCATGGAGGGAGCCCATTTATGTATAGCACACGTATAAAATGAGCCCTTATGCTACCACAAGCATGCTCTTGGTACGGCTTCGAAGCTGTGATAGAAGTGAGATGGGTGGCAGCTCCAAATTATCTCATAAGCACTGGTACGCGTCCATCCGATGCAAGTACTTGCTGATAGAACTGTGTCTATCTTAAAGGAAGATGATGCGAGGGCCCATAAGAGTCTACAATCGAACCTGAAAAGGCTGAGATGCAACCTTCCTCTTAGGACATCGATAGTTGCTTGTATACTGCTACGAACAGCATCTTGCTCCCGAAGTACTTGGCTGCACAGAATTACAGGTGTCATTTTCGCACATATACAGCCGGGCATATAGAGAGATTCAGTACTTCATTAGAACTTGACGTCATCAGGCTCACTACTCTGTTCGACTGTCAGATTCAATACCTGTACTTCTTCAACTATGATATTGCACTATGCTTGATCCTTATACTTAAGGCCGGTTCGATTTCCTACCCGACTTTCTTCTGAGGTCTCGAATGGTTAGAGGAGTGTCAACCCACTGCAACATTGCATCCGAGGACTGTACACCGTACACTGATAATATATGTAAGATCAACATCAAAGTCACACTACTACGGAAAGCATGTGAATTGTCGGTAGCGGCTTAAAAAGGTGAAGCACGTTGGAGCTCAACTGGTTCAGTCGGAGAACAACTTGCAACCTCCCGTACGGCGGGATAGGGAGACAGCTCAGGCTTGCGCAATTTATGGCGTTGATGGATTGTGGGTTTATAACCTGCTGAAGCCATGGAACTATCATTTCTCACGACGTTGACCTCCGAGCGATGGCCAGGAATACTTAGCACACGTTGAGTGTAATGTCAGTGGTATCAGTTGTTTTTTCGAAGTAACTGATCTGTTCAGACGGTCCATGATTCAAGGCCGTATCTGAAGTATTTCCTCTATTCCTAGGTTGCAACGTTTCCAGCCACCACGAAGTACCTTATTAAAAGAGGTCAGCCAAGGTCTGAACACGTTCACCCTTTTTAATATCATGTTGAAAAGGGAAAGAAAAAAAAAGAGTTCACCACGGATGTGGCTATATCTCTTGGTGCTCATGCTGGGAATCGAACTCAGAGCCTGTCGTCGAGTAAGGCTATGGGCGAATATATTGATTGTTGATCTCGAACCATTCCACCACCCAACCAGTTTGACCTGACCCGTCGACCTAGACGGGCGCCTGCTGGCTGGTGACGGGAATATACTTGTAGTGGTAGACAAAGGCTTCCTACGTATCCAGGCGACAGAATATGCTGTAACGGCAGCAAGGACGGCACTCGCAGCCTCTCGGTACGTGGACTTCAGGCTTAATATATAACGTGTTCCTTTCACGTAGAAAAGAATACTTCAATGGGAGATTTGATCAAGTCAATTTTAACCTATGATATGCATGGGCATTTTCCTCGCCCGTCTTTTGATTGAGTGGGTAGTACTAGTACATAATGTGACACCCGGCGAGTCTCCTATCTTGTGTGTGTCTGTCCATCAACGCCGGCTCCGTACTCTCTCCAAGTAATCATTTCTGTCCCGCCGCCTGGTCGAAGCTCTCAAGCACCGAATCCTTCAGCTGCTTGGGTTCCCCGGACGCTCCCTCGCCAGACTCCTCCGCCGATTCGTTGCCGACCAGCTGCTTCGCCATCGTCCTGGCCTGTGCCTGTCCAACCTTGCCGTACACGCTCAGGCCGGTGGCAATCATGCTCGAGATGTCTCCCACGTTTCCGGGGACTACGACAGCCGTGCTCTCCTTGGCCAGCTTGCCAAACGCGTCAACGTACTTCTCGGCAACGGACAAGCTGATGGCGCCTTGTGCCGCATCCTCGCCATCGGCAATGCTCTTAGAGACGGCCTCGATACCAGCGGCGGTAGCCTTGGCCTTCATGAGGATGGCCTCGGCCTCACCAGACGCCCTGTTAATCTGCTCGGCGCGCAAGGCCTCGGACGCCAGAATGACGCTCTGCTTCTTACCCTCGGCGATGTTGATGGCCGACTGCCTCTGACCCTCAGAGTCGAGAATCTCGGCGCGCTTCGAGCGCTCGGCGGTGACCTGGCGGTGCATGGCTTCGACGACGCCGGCGGGGGCGTGGATGTCTCGGATCTCGTAACGGAGGCAGGTGACGCCCCAGGCCTGGGCGGCTTCGTTGATGGCGGCGGTGATGTTTGTGTTGAGGGCGGCGCGCTCCTTGAGGACGTGGTCGAGGGTCAGCTGGCCGATTTCGGATCGCATCGTGGTTTGCGCCAGCTGGGAGATGGCGTATTCGGCATCTTCGACTCCGTAGCTTGGGGTACACTGTTAGAATTCTACTACGATACCGTCGAGGGGTGTGTTGACAAACCTGGCCTTGTAGGCGTCAAAGACGCGGGTGTAGAGGACGCCATCGAGTTCGAGGGTGACGTTGTCGGCGGTAATGGCGCTTTGACTGGGGATCTCGAGTGCATTTTCCTTGAGTGACTTGACGTAGGAGATGCGGTCGATAAAGGGGACGAGGATGGCCAGACCGGGTTCGAGGATGCGGTTGAACTTTCCCATGCGCTCAACGATCCATGCCGTCTGTTGCGGAACGAAGCGGATGACGGTGTTGGCGGGGAGGGACGACCTCTGGAAGTAGGAGGGCGGGATACTGGAGCTGGAGCCGAACGCTGATGGAAGCAGGCTCTTTGTGGTGGTCTGGAAGCCGCGCGACTGGGACTGGACGAGAGCCCGTCTCAGCGGCGCGGAGAGTGCGGCTTTTGTTACCGCCGAAGCCATGTCTGTTGCTGCTGCGGCATTGACGTAGATCGAGAAGATGCGTGGATCAAATCGAGGTTGCGAGCTCCAGAACAGCTCTATCGCGGGTCATCATCAACTAAGGCCAAAGAGGATCTGTGGGTCTCCGTCGTTTGACCGGGGCAAAAAAAGTCCATGGATGACGGAAGTTGCAGCTGCCTCTGCCTACCGATAATTAGCCGACGGCATCGGCCGAGGCCCACCGGGCTCTGATGCTTTCATTCCGTGGTGCTATGCCATGGGCATCCAGGATCCAGGACAGGACATCCTAGACATGGACGAGGTCTTGCATTGTCAGCTTGGAGACCAGACGGCACATCTGTTCGCAACGAATATGAAGCCCGCATACTCTGATTTTTTGCATTGGATCACAACCCTATTGATGTTGGCTAGTCATGAAACTTGGATCTCAAAACATTCAGCATCATGGCAGTCCCTAAGATGATCAGTCATTGCATCCATTACCACCTTACCGGATCAAAACATGATACGAAACCCAGTCTGAGTCCTCATCTGAAAGACTGCGATTGGTCTCAGAGGATAGCAAGCCGGTATAGAATCAGCAGAGGGAGCCTGGAGAGTGGCGCCCAGTATAGATCTGAGTCTCGTGGCCGCAGAGGTGCATGCTGTTGATGGTATCCTCTTCCGTCTCACTCTATCCAGAGCCTCAAAGCACAAAGACACATTGCCTTCCTTCACAGCACAGCATAATGAGCAGAGAGGACTTTGGGTGTGAAGAAAGTCATAATCATTGAGCCATACTACCCATGCCATGTGTACCGATAATCAGCCCGACCTACCCAGCCAAACCCTCTTTCGCGAATCGTGGAGAATCATGCACATAGGCCACTACTAGTATGTAGAACCTTCGGGAGGCTGGGGGATCTTCTTGTTCGCAGGAGCCGCCATGTACCTGGGAAAATGAACGTTAGCCTTGCCTGAATAGCTGCACTTCAGCGTGCACCCAGATCTACCTCCCCAACGTACCTTCTAAGCTCAATGAGAATGGTCTCCATGGTGTTGTCTCTCTTCCAGTTGGCCAGGCAAGGGAGCTGTCTGGGGTCGACGACGCCATTGCGGGAGTTGACGCAGGGCAGGTTGACCTGGCTCACAAATTGTATCGTGGGAGGCTCGTCAGGGTAGTTGGGACCACAGTGCATCTTGAGGGAGTAGATTCTGTTCTCGTGGACGCTCTACAAAGGACCGGTCAGTGATGCGCAACACCTCGATGGGGGTTGGTGAGCACAAAGGAGGTACTAACGTGAGGGGGTCCGAGAATGGTTCCGTTCCAGTCGGACATCAAGAGGTCCTCGGCATCGTTCAGACCGTAGGAGCAGGCCTCTACAATGGAAAGAGTCAGTCAGAACTGCGAGATGCGCGGGGCAGATTGCTTGGTGTTGCATCAGAGGGGAGGGGCTCTAGTACCTGCTCCGAGACCCTTCTCGCCCTTCTCAAGCTCCTCAAGGAGGCGGAAGTTGCGTGGAACCTTTGCGCCCATGTTGAGTCGTGTGTGGGTATCGCGAGGCTTGGGTTCGGTGTGGTTGTGAAAGGGCGACTGGTAGATACCGCAATGTAGATGTTCAGAGTTGGAGGGGTTACGAAGTGGGAGGAAGGCCGACGGGGGACTGCAATGCGGCCCGGATCTTAGTTCCTTACCTAAACGTGAGGTAGGCACCTGGTGGGGGTTATCTGATGGACCCAGTGGCGGGTCGCAGTGGGAACCTTACAGAAGGGACCACCAGTGTAATCAAGCGGGCTTGTGCCTGAAGGCGCTGGGGAGACGGCGCAAGTGTCACTGTCTAGCCAGAAGCTACCTATGCTAGCCGAGCCCAAAGGCAGCGCGGGGCAGTAAAGGCGGTGAACCACTTTGGGCATTTCTGCCGATCAAGCGGTGTGGATACCTTTATGCGAGATGCCTTAGTCATCATTCAAGGTGGACAGCTCACCTCAATCGGGAGCTGTGGATGAGCTGCCAGGCGCAGAGAGCAGTTGCAGCTGTCCAAACGGAAGCTCCCTACCTTAACTTGCCCTGTGCATCCCCATCAACTCGAAATCAACTCGACAATCTTCGACAGGACACGGTCTTGTAACACTTCACAGTCTGTTTTAGTTGCGTGTGTTTCTTCAGTTCACTGAGTTCCGTCCCAAGGTCGATGATGGACTGCCCGAGAGGCCACCTGTGACACAATGACGACCCAGCTCCTGGCCACGGAGCTAACCAACCTCATCCAAGAGAGCAAACGGAAACACAATGACCTCCGACAGGTGTGCACTTGATTCTCCGAATAACTAAGACTCAATGCTAATCATGTATGGACAAGGCTGCTGAAAAGTCTCTCGAGGAACTCAAAGCGCTTAGAGGAGCTAATGAAGCTCAAGCTGCCAACGGTGTGTATCACCCCCTGTCGATCCCCTCCTAGGTAGCTATGGATCCATGACTGACCTCTCGATACAGAGCTTGCCCAGAGACCCAACTTTGTGAATCCCTTCATCATCGCATGTGGCACCAAGAATGCAAAATTTACTGGAATCGCCATTGTATGCCTCCAGAGGCTCATCGTCGCCCGTGCTCTTCCCAGGGGGAAGTTGAACCAGGTCCTCGAAGCTCTGAGAGAGGCAACCTCGGCTGGTCTCGACGTTCAACTCAAAATCCTCCAGGCTTTGCCGTCATTATTGCAAAATTATGCCACTGATCTCAAAGGCGACCTTCTCATCACCGCTTTGAACATCTGCTTCATACTGCAGTCCAGCAAAAATGCTATCGTCAACAACACCTCTGCGGCAACCTTACAACAGCTCGTCGTGTCTGTGTTTGACAAGGTCGTTGCCGAAGATAGTCAGTCTTGGGTCTTTCTGGCACCAAGTATATCTGCTGACCGTGCATAGAAACGGCTTCCAGTGGCCCTCCCGCTGGCGAGGCGCCGTCCGGTGAGGGCACAGTTGAGCTGCGCGCTGCGGCGCTGGATGCGTACAGGGTAAGCCGCGTCTGCCTACTTCTAAGTTCCGTCACTTACATCTGCTTAGATATTCAACGACTTATGCCTCATGACGGAAAACCAGCGCCCCGAGTACCTGAGATTCTCCGGTCTGCCACAAACATTCGGACTGGAACTGATAGAGTCGGTTCTTACCAACCACGCCGCCGTCTTTTCTACCCACAAAGAACAAGCACACATCCTACAGATTCGGGTCATGCCATTCATCACTAGCGCGCTGAAAGGAAAGCCAAACTTTGCTACGTCCGTCAGGCTGGTTCGGATTCTGTACACCCTCCTCCGACGCCATATCAACATTCTCCCAACCGAAAGCGGAGATGCACTTGATATCCTGACGCATCTACTGGACCAGGACACGGCGACATGGAAGAGAGCACTGTGTTTAGAAGTGTTCCGAGGTATCTTCTCAGAGCACGCCTTGATCAGACGGATCTTCGTCAACTACGATGCCAAAGAAGGCGAGAAGGATGTCCTCAAACACTTGACCGCCACCTTTGTGCGGCTTAGCACCGAGAAACCGTCTGTTATTGGTCTTGGACACCAATCAACAATCCCGGTTATGAACCCTTATGCTAGCATCGCATCATCAACCGATCAAGCCATGCTCGAGGCCAGCGGCGTCACGGGTATTATCAGCGGCTCCGTCAGCGCAGACGGCTCCAATGTGGGCATTAGCACGCAGTGGAGTAGCGTCCGGGTCCCTTGCATCGACCAGCTCGACAAGACCGAGGCACCATCTATTCCGGATTCTTACATCTACAGCTTGACTTTGTCTTGCATAGGATCGCTCTCTGAAGGCCTTGCCAAGTTCATCCTTCCCCTCACCGTCCCGGGGGATAACCGCAATCGCAAGAAGAGCGGGAAGCAGGAAGTTGGCCGTGACTCACCGGCACCTGCACAAGATGATACAGACGGGTCACGAGCTGCGTTGGAACGAGCAGCATCATTCAAGAAGAACCCCGTCCCGCTCAACCCTCTTGCTTTGGAGGATCATCCCATGCATAAAGAAGTCAAAATTTGCGCCGCCATCATTGAGGAATGCTGGCCTGCCATCCTTGCTACCTGTTCTACGTTCCTCTATGCTGCTATGGACTCTGAATACTACCACAGTCTGGTGAGGGCATTCCAAAAGTTTGCGCATGTCGCCGGCTTGCTTCAGCTGTCTACCCCAAGAGACGCATTCTTGACGACGCTGGGCAAGGCGGCAGTGCCACCGAATGTGTTCACGGCATGCCTGAATGCTGGGCCAGCTCGACCAACAACACCCACACCCACCACAGAAGCGCCCAACAGCATTCTGAGCAACGCACGAGGACTACTAAGTGTCGATAGTCTTGTCACCCAAGCCTCGCCCGTCGCTGACAGAGGTCGACAGCAAGGCCTTGAGGGAAGCCAGATGACGCTCAACACTCGTAATCTACTATGTCTGCGAGCGCTCCTTAACCTTGGCATTGCTCTTGGTCCGACTCTTGGTTCTTCATGGCGTATCATTCTGGAAACCTTGCAGCAGGCCGATTTCGTACTGTTCTCCACGAGTAAGACTCCTGGCCGAACGCCACTCGCAACGAAGGGAACAGACCAGCATGCAGAGGGCGAGGCAAATGCACTACTCTCCAACTTTAGCAGTGAAGTCCGCGCTGTTGAGACGGCAGCATCTCGTCTGATCGAAAGCACTATTGACTTTCCCAATGATGCCTTTGCACAAGTCGTTGAGGCGGTATGCGACCTCTTGGAAAGAGCAAAAGATGACAAGCCGAAGACAGAGACTGCAGCGCAACCAAAGTCGCCTACATCAGGAGGCATGAAGCCGTCGCAAGCTGGCCAACACCGTCGTGTTCTCAGTGTCTCTACAGCAGCCGCTGCGGGACCGAATCAGGAAGACCACTTCGCTCTGGCCAAGCTGGGTGATATTGCTACGATCAATATCGATCGCTTGCTATCTTACTCTCCAGACATATCGGGATGGACCCCTCTGACTTTTGAATTGATCCATATCATCAATGCGTCTTCAATGAACGCTTCCGTAAGGCTGCGAGCGGCAGAAATTCTCGTCAGACTGGCTCTTGACGCAGCCAACATTGCGGCCACAATGGAGCGTGAGCAATGCGGTCAAGTTCAGTTGCTTCTCCTCGAGGCTCTCCGCGATGCACTCTTGCCTCTGCAGCAAGAAGATAGGGAGGTCACCGTCGCCAGTCATAGCACCGACGTCGAAATCCACAAGGTTATCCTAGAAGGACTGAAGAACCTGCTTGAAAACTGTGGCGAGACACTCGTTAGCGGATGGGAGATTGCTTTTGAGATTATCGGCTCCATCTTCATCAACAAAAAGTTCGCCCTTGGAGAACGTCGGGGCTCCCAGACGAACGTTCTCATGACCAGATCAGCGAAGCTTGTCCGGTCTTCTTTCAATTCTCTTCAACTCATCTGCTCCGACTTCCTAGCGTCTTTGCCGAATTCCTGCTTTCTCATCCTTGTCGATACCCTTTACAAATTTTGCTCACAAGATGATGACCTCAATATTGCATTAACGGTACGTTGCAAAGCGTCAAGTTCTTTGGACCAAGCTAACATTTTGTAGACTGTCACGTTTTTCTGGGTCCTGTCAGATTTCCTTTCCGGCAAGACTGAGACCCTTCCCGTCACGGCCGACCTGATGCAGGGCTCAAGTATATCTGATCTGGCAGCCTTGGCTGCAAATTCGGAACACATCGCCTCAGACGCCGCTCTTTGGATGCTGTTGCTGTTGAGACTCACGACCGTGACAGCCGATGAACGACTTGAGCTACGCAATAGCGCGATTCAGACCTTGTTGAGAATCTTTGACGCGTATGGCGATAAGTTGAGCCCAGAGGCATGGTCCACCTGCGTCAAGTCTGTGGTTTTCAAGCTTCTTTCATCGATAGAGGAAGAACTCAAGGCCGCCGCAACCGACAGTACCACCCTGCAAGACCGCAAAGAGTGGCACGAGACAGCATCCGTTGTCTTGACCGGTATTTCCGAGCTCCTTACGACCTACATGGAGACACTATCCACGCATTCCTCATTTAATGCCCTGTGGCAAGAGCTTCTTGGTCACTTTGCTACTTTACTCGATTTTAAGGTGCTCACAATCAACACGGCCACGTACAAAGCACTCGGCAAGGTCATCAAGCTCGACTACGATCCCGGCAGACCCATTTTTGACACAAACACTGTCAACGCGGCATGGGAGCTGTGGTCTCGGGGTACGCCCGTCTCTCTAGATGAAGAGGACGGCAAGAAGGTAGACAACCAAAATTGCTTGATTGCCTACGTTGCGGCTTTCCACGATGTGTACCAACTCGTCCAGCAAGACCTTACAGTTGATCGTGTCCGCCAAATGTTGACCCTCTTCCGCGAAGCCCTGCAACAAGCCACAGTCGGAGCCTACGTGAACGACATTGAGTATGCCACGCCGCTGCAGAATCAAGTCATGGAAGCCATCAAGATGGTGCGAACAGACCTCGCTGGCGTGCCCTCAGCC